CCTGTGACACCAGATAGGATCAGGACCCACACTAGTGGGCTCATTTTAACTTAATAATTTCTTTAAAACCCCTATCTCAAATACAGTGACCTTCTGATGAACTGAGAGTGAGGGCTCCAATATGAATTTGGCAGGAGGTAGGGACACCATTCAGTCCATAAAAGGTGGGAATATGGAAGATTTACCTTTCCCAAATAACATTTTCTACACTGAGTCTATAATATTTAACTATTTTACAAGGAGTCTCATGATTTTATAATCTGGAAAGGCAATAAAGTAGGATAAAACACAAAAAATACTGTGCTTATATTTAACTTATAGATTGTAGGATTAGATAATTATAAACAAAATTTTCCATTTACATGAATGTCTCCAGGAACATTTGAAAGTTGTGAGAGCTGCAGGCCGATTCTCTGTTGTGCAAGATTGATGCCGGCATTGCAAGTGTACGGCACCTCCTCCCCATAACCACGGCCAGTACCACCCCTCTTCCATCACTCTGGCAACCAAATGATGCCCTGACACTCTCCAAACACGTCCCCATCAATCTCTGCCACCTTCAAGTAGAATTTATACTAACATTTGTAAATATTTAAATCATTTTCTTCTTCTTCCTCCTCCCTCCTCCTTCTTTTAAAATAATAAAGGAGGAAGAAATCAAGCTAAGTATGTTTAGCTGCACCAGGAGGAAGCGTGGCTGTTGTCTGAGTCACAGCAGTTTCATGATAACTGAAACTGTCCAAAGACAGTTGAGCCTTTTGCAGTAGTTTATCCAAATTGCAGGCATGATGCTCTGGAGAATAGATGACAACAGTAGCTAATGTTTAGTAACACTGACTATCAGCCACGCCCGCTCTGAACACTCTGCCTACACAGACTGATTGATTCTTTCCTACAACCCTGGGAGGTATCCGTCCCTGGAAGGTGAACTGATCTGGCCGTGAGGGAGCTCTGTTTCAAAGCAGACCATGTGGTTGGGGGCTACCACGCTCAGCCACCACAGGGCACTAGTTCTCCTTGAGAGTGAGTGTGTGCTTACTGGGTACCTGACACCAAGGTCACACGTTACAAACGTCATTTCAGGTAATCCTCACAGAAACCATGGCATCTCTACCATACCCTCCATTTTATAGCTTTTACAGCTCTGAGAAAGAAATCTAAACAGATGAGTTACATGCATGTTGTTAACATGTACAAAATAATGGCAGACATGATGGAAGTTATTGCCACAATCAAATCAATGTGGTGAACCAAAGCTATTATATTAATGAGAGGGTACTTCAGATGGTTCTTGAAAAATTGAATTTTTTTGTTTTGGTGCAAAAATTTCCTGAAATTCATGCATAGTTCTTTTTATATTATTAAAAACAACGCTTGGCCATGGAGTAATTTTTTTTTTTTTTTTTTTTGGACAGGCAGAGTGGACAGTGAGGGAGAGACAGAGAGAACAGAGAGAAAGGTCTTCCTCCTTTAGATTCTTCTCAGAGCTGTCCCGTTGGTTCATCCTCCAGTGGCCGCTATGGCCAGTGCACTGTGGCTGGCCCACTGCACTGATCCAAAGCCAGGAGCCAGGTGCTTCTCCTGGTCTCCCATGGGGTGCAGGGCCCAAGGACTTGGGCCATCCTCCACTGCACTCCCAGGCCACAGCAGAGAGCTGGACTGGAAGAGGGGCAACCGGGACAGAATCCGGCACCCCGACTGGGACTAGAACCCAGTGTGCCAGCGCTGTAGGCAGAGGATTAGCCTATTGAGCCGCGGTGCTGGCCATGGAGTAAATATTGATATCAGTGGAAGTAAAAGTCTTTGATGAGTTATAAGAAAATTCACTAATGGCAGAAACGAATGGCTTGCAGCATCTCCATTCCCCTCTCTCTTCCATTGGGATTTACTGTTGACTATGTGTATTTCAAGAAATAAATGTAAGGTTTGATATAATTGGAAAAAATAAACCTAATAAACTTTTTAAAATTCCTTGTTGAATTCTCCCTTACCAGATAATCTAATTTCAATAGATTTGAAAGAGAACATGATATGAGGATACTTCAAAATGTTCACGGAGCATAGAATGAGTCTGGATTTTTTTTTCCTGATCCACTGTTTTAAATTAGGTACATTTGCCTTTTTTCATCTTTTTTATTTTTAGAATTAAGCACAAAATAGTTCTTAAACACTGGCTGGCTCTGTGGCTCACTAGGCTAATCCTCCGCCTGCAGCGCCAGCACCCCGGGTTCTAGTCCTGGTTGGGGTGCCAGATTCTGTCCTGGTTGCTCCTCTTCCAGTCCAGCTCTCTGCTGTGGCCAGGGAGTGCAGTGGAGGATGGCCCAAGTCCTTGGGCCCTGCACCCCATGGGAGACCAGGAGAAGCACCTGGCTCCTGGCCTCGGATTGGCGCAGCACGCTGGCTGTAGCGGCCATTTGGGGGTGAACCAATGGAAAAAGGAAGAACTTTCTCTCTCTCTCTCTCTCACTAACTCTTCCTGTCAAAAAACAAACAAAAATAACTAATACCTTTCAAACATTTTCCTTTTCTTATTAAAAATAATATAACATAAAAGAACCTTCTTGAGAAAAAAAATCCTCTAATCCTACTACATCAGCACAATTTCCATATCAGAGAACAAGCTTCCAATTTTTATCTACAAAATAACATTTTTTTAAAGATTTATTTATTTGAAAAGCAGAGTTACAGAAAGGTGGTGGTGGGGTCTTCCATCCTCTGGTTCATTCCCCCAGATAGCTATAATGACTGGAGCTGTGCAATCCAAAGCTAGGAGCCGGGAGCTTCTTTCAGGTTTCCCATGTGGGTGCAGGGGCTCTAGGACTTGGGCCATCTTCTGCTGCTTTCCCAGGCCATAGCAGAGAGCTGGATCGGAAGTGGAGTAGCCGGGACTTGAACCAGTGCCCACATGGGATGCCTGCACCACTACACCACAGCATTGTCCCATATTACACATTTTTTATATTCTTTGTCTATATATGTGTATAACATTTTGTAGTGACTTTGACTTACAAGTGTGCCATAAACATTTTCCTTGTTTCTATATTCTTACAATAACTTGTAATGGGTGCATCTATTTCTTTGAGTGGATGTCAATATAATTTAATAATTTTTTTATTGCTGTTCATTTTAGGTTTAGGTTTTAGTATTGTCTCTACCCTACATAGACGTGAAAACAAACATCATTGTGCTGAAAGTTTTTAATCACTTGTTCATTTCCCAATATCAAAATCCTAGAAGTGGGATTTGTAGGTGAATGGATATAAATGTTGATTTGCTATACCAAATCACAAGCTATACTGATCTTCTGTATGTTTCTTTGTCGGCTTTTCCACTCACCAGAACACCATCTGTTGGAGGCAGTTTCCTTTGCTTGGCTCTCTTAAGGTTGCCCTCAGTTACCTCCTTGGAGACAAAGGCGACCTGTGATGAGGTCAGCAGTGTCATGTTCACAGTGGAGAGGTGGAGGGCTTGGAGCGGCTGAGGGGCAAAGTATCACATCGCTGCCCGCAGTGCTGCCGATGCTGCCTGTCATGGCGGCTGCCGTGGTTCCAGCACACTGGCAGAAAGAAAAATGCTCCCTAAGCTGATGTTTGGGTCAGGTCATAATGAACACTGTGCCGGGTTCCAGACTACAGATGAACCTCAAAATCACAAACGAATAATGTGTCATTTGATATCTTGAATAGCAAAACAAAGTGATTTCAAGTGAAAATATATTTAATTGGCCTCACTTGGGATTTGCATGTCTCAATGCATTAAATAACATTTCCTTTTACAATCAACTCCACTGTAGTAATTTCTAGTACAGCTTACAGATAAAAAATATATGGTTAATTTTTAATAAGCAAATGATTTGATGTTTCATGGTATAATTTGTAATTACAAGTTAGGAGGTCTCTGGTTATTTTAGGATTGAATTTTGGGAGAAAGATGGTTTAGAAAGATGGTTTATAATGTCTCAAAACAAGAAAAAGGAAGTTTTTTTTTTCATATTATTTACTTATACCCTGATTTCAATCAAGCTTTACTTTATTGGCAAGTGCTGTTAGTACTACTGTTGTGAGAGGACTCATTTTATTATTAGAGGGGATTTGACAACTCATTTATGCCTAAATATTCCATCCAGAATCATATACTTACAAAACAAAGTCATATTATAAAGATATTGGTGACTGAAATTAATAAGGAAAGCCATTTATTAGCTGCAATGAATTGTTCTTGATGTGAGGAAAATCTAGTTGGTTGTAGTTTTGTTGACAATAAAAGAGAGACAGGTTAACAAAGTTGATCCAACTTCTTTTAAATCCTGAAAAGTCATGAGAGAGAGAGAGAGAGAGAGAGAGACAGGAAGAGAAAGAGAGTAGAGATAGAGATAGAGACAGAACTAGTGGGCAGGAGGTAGGCTGAAATTGTATGAAACACTTTAGGCACAGTCCTGCCTGGAAAGTAGAGATTCTTTGCGCATGGGAAATTATAATTTTCCCTGGTTTCTGATTGAAAGCTGTTTGCTTTGGATTCTAGGTGTTTAGTTGCAAATCTCAGAGATTTGGAGACTAAGAAGTGTTTTTTTCTTGTGAAGAGGTTTCCTTATTTTGATTTAGAAAAATACTTAGCCTCTTTAAAAAGGGGGGCACCCTAATTTCTTGTATGTTGACACATCCAGAAAATCCTTCTCACCTACCTAATCTAACAAATGACTCAGTATGTTTGATGCAGTGTTAGGGATAATTATTAGCTTCTTGTCCTTGTGACTGAAGTCCCGGCAAAGGGCACAAAGCCAAGTAAGGGAACTAACACATCAGTGTGCACTGGCACCACCTTGTGGCCTTGAACTAATTCAACAGCTCCTTGGTAAGAGGATCCATTCAGGGTCTTCTAAACGGTGAATTGCAAATAATAAACATGCATGAAAGCATCAGGATTCAACTTCTGCAGAACTCAGTCTGTGGGCAGTTCTGATGAGTACTTATTTGACTTTTTTTTTTTTTTTTTTTTTGTAGTGAAACAAAATGGAGTGTGTTGTATGTTGAGGACTCGGCTCTTCTTGGCAGGTCTGTAGCAGTACAAGTGGTGAGCTATCACACTCCCCACCCCTTTGTGCTGGATAAGAACATATGAAAAATAAATACATGATCACATAGTGAGTGACGCGAATTAGCCTTCCATCAAAGGCTGAGGAACCCAAGGAAAATTCAGCTTTTGTATTTGCTAAACACACCTTTGTGTACCACTTTTTAGGGAACAGGGAGTCTTTCCTCTGACTTATGGAGGCGTATTTATTTTTCTAGATGTACAGCAAACATAGCAAGTATTTTATAAAAATAATACTTGCTGATGGGAAAGACTTGAAAATTGTAGAAATCAACAGCAAGGGGCAAATATAGTTCATAGTCCCCCACTAACACAAAGGCTGCTATTGTGCTATTTTTCAGGTGTGTGTGTGTGTGTGTGTGTGTTTGACAGGCAGAGTGGACAGTGAGAGAGAGACAGAGAGAAAGGTCTTCCTTTTGCCGTTGGTTCACCCTCCAATGGCCGCCGCGGCCGGCGTGCTGCGGCCAGTGCATCGCGCTGATCCGAAGCCAGGAGCCAGGTGCTTCTCCTGGTCTCCCATGCGGGTGCAGGGCCCAAGCACTTGGGCCATCCTCCACTGCACTCCCAGGCCATAGCAGAGAGCTGGCCTGGAAGAGGGGCAACCGGGACAGAATCTGGTGCCCCGACCGGGACTAGAACCTGGTGTGCCGGCACCGCAAGGCGGAGGATTAGCCTATTGAGCCGCGGCACCGACGTGTTATTTTTCAGTAAGCATCTACTCTGAGAAGAAACTCTGGAGCCACACTTGCCTTGGCTTAAATCTCAACTGGGCCATTTAGTGGCTATGAATTGGTAGACAAGTTATTCAGCCTTCTTGGTGCCTTGGTTTCTTCATCCCTAGGATGGCAATAATAGTTCTGCTGCATAGGGTTATGAAGATTAAAAAGTTAATCTATGTACGTTGGTTAGAATAGTGCCTGTATAATCACTATCTGTGTCAGTTGTTAGTTTTCCCTTCCTCTTTTTTCAGCTTTCTTACTGTTACCAGAAACCATCAGACATCCTGCTAGAAGCTAATATACTGGTGTGTTTCCATCCAGTAATTTTTCTTTTGTGTTGTTTCTTTATATACTTTATTTCTTAACACATGAAACTATTCTAAAAATGTAATTTTATTTCTCTTGAAGTGTCATCATTATAACATTATTCATTTGTATGATTTTTAATAACTGGCAAATGCTATTATCTTAATGTTACTATTTAGCATGGTATAAGATGATGACAATTTGCTTTTTTTAAAGATTTATTTATTTATTTGAAAGGCAGGGTTACATAGAGGAAGAGCAGAGCTAGAGAGAAAGAGATCTTTCATCTCCTAGTTCACGCCCCAGTCATAATGGCCAGGCAGAAGCCAGGAGCCAGGAGCTTCATCTGGGCCTCCCACATGGGTGCAGTGGCCCAAGTACTTGGGCTATCTTCTGCTGCTTTCCCAGGCCATTAATGGGTCCTGGATCAGAGGTGGAGCAGCTGGGACTTGAACCAGTTACCCATATGGGATGCCAGCACTGCAGGCTTAATCCACTATGCCACAACACTGGCCCTGATTATGACAATTTGGATATGTGTGTTTTTATTACTAACATGCAAAATTAAGACAAACAACAAATGTTTAAAAGAGGCAAACCTAAAGGTTTGTTTCCTTTATATAATATTATGTATTTTAGAATCCTATACTCCCAGTTTTGTTTTCAATTCTGGATAGCATATTCATTCATTCATTCCCACCCCACCCCCCTCATCAAACACTACTTAGGCAACTAGGTAGAAGGCATGAGGCTAAAGGCTGGAGATGTAACACTGAATAGGGTACTTTCCTGGAAAAACTTGATGAGACACTCAAAATGGGGCAAAGAGAACACTGCAAAGAGCAACTAGGTCTGCCTAAGGAAGGTGAAATTTAAGCTGGTATTAAAGGATAAGTAGGAATTGGAGAAGGATCTAGAATGCATTATTCTGGGCAGAGGAATCAGCAATGAGTAAAAATTAGCAGTTGGGTGTATCTAGTCTGCCTGTAAAACATTGTAATATTATCAATAAAGAAGTGTAGTGTAGTGTGCGTGGTGGGGGAGGGGCAGGGGGGGAAACAAGACTCATGATGCTGCTTAGGCCAGAACTGAAATGCAAGTTTATAATTTATCCAGTAGAAAAACTGGAATACATCCAGGCTTAAATCAGAAGACTGGAAGTTGTTTTTTAAGGAAGATAATGGTGTTGAGAGAGAACAAATGGGAAGAGGGCTTGATCAGAGGTACTGATATTGGTGATGAGTCTGGCACAAAAGTTTAATTAAAATCTGATGATTAATAAGATGCCTGATTTAGACTAGGTTTTGAAGATGTGAAAATGCTCAGTTGGAAATAGGGAATAATGGCAAATGGAAAACAGAGGAGATGGGAAAGGTTTGGGTGGATAGGGATGACATTAACTGATTGAGAATACAAAAGAATTGGAAAGGAATGGAAGGGAATGAGGTCAGGTTTAGAGAGGCTGCGTGTGATAAGCCACTGAGATAAGCATGAGAAATCAACAGCTGGAAGTTTAGGTCTGCAGCTTGGGAGAGGGATGGGGGTTGAAATAATAGCTTTGGGATTGTCAGTTGAGTTGAAACCATGGAACTAGGTGAGATCATCTGGCTAGAGTATAAAAATAAAAAGAGGTTCAAGAATGAAACTCTGGGGAACTCACATTTAAGGGGTCAACAGAGAGGAAAGTCAGTCAAATGGCAGTAAGGGATAAGAAGAAATCGTGCTGCTGCAGAGAGGTAGAAGGGGTTGTCAAAGAAGGGGTTGGTTCACGTCCAGTGCTGGAGATAAGACAAGCGGTGGCACTGAAACAAGCCAGTGATGGGCATTTGTGTGCCTTTTGTTATTAGTGACCTTGGCAAAAGGCAGTTTGAAGCTGAAGTGGCTGGGGGGGGGGGGGGTTAAGTAATCTGAGACAGCAATAGCAGGCTTCTCTTCCAGTATGTCTGTAGGAAAAGGCATTAAGCAAGAGCAGAGGGAGGAAAGTAACTATGGGGAAGTATCTTCATGATGGAGATTAGAGAATTTCGGTACCACACCAAGTCTGGTTGGTGATTTACTAACACAGCATATATTTACTTCATTTATTGGTCTTAAATTTAGAGTAATTTAAAAATAAGTTAAAGACTCAGCTTTAACCTTAGTTCGGAGAGAGAATTACAACTTGGACTCGGGTCATGGCTTTTATTTTGGTTTACCACTAAAGCAGTCATTGAGTAGTGCAGTCATCAGTCATGTGCCACATAATGCCATTTTGGTCATCTGTGGACTGAATATGCAATGGGGGCCCCTTAAGACTGCACTGCCTGGTGACATCATATTCATGTTAAGTACACCCTGTTATGTTCACAAAAAGATGAAGTCACCCGATGATGTGACTCCTGGAATATATTCCCACTATTGAGTAATGCATGACTATAAATGAGATAAAGTAGAATTCAGCTGCCCATTTTCTATTTGTATGTTACAAATAAATAAATACATAAAACGATGCTCTCAGTCTTAGAAGCTGAGATGTCAGAAAAGTAGGGTATTGTGGGCTTTCCCCCTTTTTAAACCCCAGATGTCATCATCTAAAAATCTTTAGGTGAAATTTCTAAGGAAGCCACATTGTTCAGCTTAATGTCTGAGTCTTACATTTTGAAATTTTGGCTGTGCCAGCTCCATTTACATTCCTTTAGGGTCCCCCTCCACATCACCACCATGGGAAGATCTGGCAGGCTTACACTATGAAGCAAGGCAAAAGACACACAGCAAGGAAGATCTCGTTCACTCGTTTATTCTGGTACAGATTCATGTTTGGGGAACAGATGTAATGCACACATTAATATTCCTCTGCAGTCTAGGAACCTGTATTTTTAGAGATGTTTTCATCCCAGTGGCCTCAGGAACTCAGCTGTCTTTTTAACTTCATTTTTCTTTGAACATCTGTAAAAACACTCCAATGTAACCAATGGTGGCAAAGGTTTTTTTTTTTAAGATTTATTTATTTATTTGAAAGTCGGAGTTACACACAGAGAGAAGGAGAGACAGAGTGAGAGAGAGAGGTCTTTCATCCATTGGTTTGCTCCCCAGTTGGCTGCAACAGCTGGAGCTGCACTGATCCAAAGGCAGCAGCCAGGAGCTTTTTCCAGGTCTCCCATGCGGGTGAAGGAGCCCAAGGGCTTGGGCCATCTTCTACTATTCCCAGGCCATAGCAGAGAGCTGGATGGGAAGTGAGCAGCTGGGCCACAAACTGGCACTCACATGGGATGCCAGCATTGCAGGCAGTGGCCTAACCCGCTATGCCACAGCTTTGGCCCCATAAGGGTGTTATCTTATTAATTCCTAATTAATTGCTAATAAGGAATCTCATTAGGGCAGGCCAGAGAGCAGTTCAAGATGCACCCATTCAATCGCTAGTTGGCATGATCTTAGATGCTTTACTAGGAACGGGTTTTTCATACCTAATAATGCAGGGCAGGGCAACCTCAAGACTTTAGGGGCTGCCAGCAAGCTACCAAGTGGATTTGAGATTTTGGCTGCATCCATAAACATGGGCACATACAACGAAATGAATTAGTAAATCTCGAAAAGTGTCTACATCTGGAGAGATGTAAGAACTTTTTAACCAGCTGTCAAACGTCACTTTTTAAAAACAGATCTGCTGGTTTACTCCCAAGAATGCTGCAACAGCCAGGGCTGGGCCGGGCTGAAGTCAGGAGACTGGGTCTCCCACATGAGTTGCAGGGACCCAAGCACTTGAGCCATCATTTGATGCCACCCAGGATTCACATTAGCAGGAAGCTGCATCAGAAGCGGAGCCAGGACCAGGACCAGGCCCTCTGATGCCAAATGTCTACTCCTCAACTGTCACTTTAATATTTTCAGCATGTTTTGGTAAATCCTGAAACATCACATGGCATTAAGATTTCAAATCTGTTGCTTCAATTTCTTAATGTCCTGTGAACTCTGAGGAAGGTTGTAAAATGTTAGTAAATTTTCTTAATTTCTTGAAAAGACTTACTTTGTCAGATTCTCTTTCAGTATGTCTGTCTGCGAGCACAGATGGAAGATACCAATGCTGGTGAAGCAGCAATTCGAGCTACCAAAAAGGAACTCTGGCTGCTTCTGAAATTTGTGTTGCAGGTGAACAGTGATGAAAAATTCTTTCCCGATTTTAAAAAAAACACTTATTTATTTGAAAGTTACACAGAGAGAGAAGACGGGGGAGGGGGGTGGTCTTCCACTCGCTGGTTCACTCCCCCCAACTGGCTGCAATAGCCGAAACTGTGCTGATCTGAAGGCAGGAGTCAGGAGCTTCCTCCTGGTCTCCCATGTAGGTGCAGGGGCGCAAGAACTTGTGCTACCTTTTACTGTTTTTTCCAGGCCACGGCAGAGAGCTGCATCGGAAGTGGAGCAGCCAGGACTCAAACTGGTGTTCAAATGGGATGCTGGCACTGCAGGTGGCTACTTTACCCAATACGCCACAGCACAGGCCCCATCTTTCCTAGTTTTGATGGGCTTACGTTGTAGAGTAAAAAAAAATTTTCACCTAGTTTTGTCTGCGTGACTAATACTGATTCAAAGAAATACAGAAGGCCATGGTTTCAGTGTTTTATGCTTATACAAACATGAAGAAAAACTTCAATTTAGAAATAACCTGACATGTTAGGCAACACTTCTAACTCCTTACTACTTGGAAAAACTAAGTAACATTTCTTTAGACTTGAACATGAAATGTATTTTCTGTACTTTTCATGAAACTGGATGCCCTTAACATGAAACTTGAATCTCAGCATTTTGATTTAATCATTTTTCAGCAGTATAAAGTGCCTCAGTTTCTCATGTACTCATAAACACACACATATACATGTATGCCTGTGTGTGTGTGTGTGTATATATATGTATGAATGTATTTGTATTTATATTATTCATTAGGTCATTTTTAAGTTTATGCTGGCTAGCTGGTGATAAGGTCCTGACCACTTGATAGTGACGAGGACAGATAGGGTTAGGTTCTTATAAAATGTCTGATTCTTGTTCATTTTAACTAGTGAGTCTGAAAATGCTTGATTTTGATCAGAACTTTGAAAATGACAATGCTAACTAGAATTCTGAGCATTTAAATTTAGTTTTTTGAAAGTTAGAGTTATAGAGATCTTCCATCTGCTGGTTCACTCCCCAAATTGCTGCAACAGCTGGGGTTCGGCCAGGCTGAAGCCAGGAGCCTGGAACTCCATCCAGGTCTGCCACATGGGTACAGAGGCTCAAGCACTTGGGCCACCTTCTGCTGCTTTCCCAAATTAGCAGGGAGCTAGATCAGAAGAGAAGCAACTGAGGCTCAAACTGGTGCTCATATGGAATGCTGGCGTTGCAGGTGGTGGCTTAACCCACTGTGCTACAACACTGACCCCAATATATCTTGAACTAAATAAAAACTACCAGTGACAGAGAAAAAGGAGTATGTTATATTTAATAGTGTCAGTATTGAAGACATTTCAACCTTCTGTGAAGGATAATCCGACAGGTGAAGTGTTCAGTGCAGAAACCACTTCACATTTTGGTTACCTTGTTAGGACACAATGCTCTAAAAAATGCAGTCCACATTATTTTCATTAGGAAAATGATGATAATTGTTATAGTTGCCTGAGGTGCTGTAATACTTCTACTGATACTCCAAGCTGTTTTACTAAACTGGCTGTCTGTTCTAAAATCCAAGTGAGGCTTGGGTTTTCAGAATGTGCATGCTCCTGGGTTCTACAACATTCTAAATATGCACAATTTATCCCACTAGAACTCTTGCTACAGTTTTTGTTAAACTCAGCACTATCTTCATGAAGTCTTTCGTCTTCAGCTTCATCAATCTTATTTTCAGCTGGAACTACATGACAGAGGTTCATGTCCTCAACAGAGTCCAGTAAGTCTACAACGTGGGGCTCCTGAGTGATTGATTTCAGATGTCTGAGCATATACTCTTCACACTGTCCAACTGCATCCAGAAGATTATTTATCTTACTGATTAAAGTTGAACTATTATTATGAAGGTGACACCAGGAGAGCAAAGCACTGAATGAAAACACAAACAAGAGTTAAATAGGACAAAAAAAACAAAAAAAAAAAAAATCAAACACAGGCTTTTAGAATGCTTGATGCTAGCCCTACATGTTTCTCTTCCAGAAAACACCATGTAAAAATGGATTAATGATAATACAAGTCAAATCAGTTATATAATGAGGATAAAATAGGACTTAAAATATATAGGGATACCACTTTTCAATAGAAATTCAACAATTGGACTTAATATCATAAACTGTTTATAATTCATAATGCCTCCTTCACAGCCCTTCATCCTCTTTCTTGATTTTAGATTTTCTTCTTATCACTACCTAACTTCTGTTGAAAAGAGCTACATGCTGGCAATGTGGTATAGCAGGTAAAGCTGCCACCTGCAGTGCCGGCATCCCATATGGGCGCCGGTTTGAGTCCCGGCTGCTCCACTTCCGATACAGCTCTCTGCTATGGCCTAGGAAAGCAGTGGAAGATGACCCAAGTCCTTGGGCACTGCACCCACATGGGAGACCCAGAAGAAGCTTCTGGCTCCTGGCTTCAGATTGGTGCAGCTCCAGCCATTGAGGCCATCTGGGGCGTGAACCAGCAGATGGAAGACCCCTCTTTCTCTCTCTACCTATGTCCCCTTTTCTCTCTGTGTAACTCTGACTTTCAAATAAATAACTAAATCTTTAACAAAAAAAAAAAAAAAAAAAGAAAGAAAGAAAAAAGAAAAGAAAAGGGCTACAACTTGGAGACAGATGAGAAAAACTAAAAACTAGTTTGCTTTTTAAGGACAGCTACTAGAGATTCTCAGTCTTGGGTATACATTGGAATCATCTGAGCTTTTTTTTTTTTTTTTAAAGATTAATTTATTTATTTGAAAGGCAGAATTAGAGAGAGGCAGAGGCAGAGAGAGAGAGAAGTCTTCTATCTGCTGGTTCACTCCACAAATGGCAGCAATGGCTAGAGCTGCACTGATCTGATGCTAGGAGCCAGGAGCTTCTTCTGGGTCTCTCTTGCAGGTACAGGGGTCCGAGGACTTGGGCCATTTTCTACTGCTTTCCCAGGCCATAGCAGAGAGCTGGATTTGAAGTGGAGCAGCTGAGACTTGAACTGCTGCCTTCATGGGATGCTGGCACTGTAGGCAGCAGCTTTACCTGCTTCGCCACAGTGCTGACCCCTTGAGCAGCTTTTAAACCTATGGAGGCCCAGGTTGCACCCCAGACCAATTATAGTTGCTTATCATCTACACTGAAGGCTAGTGAAAAAGAATTTTAAAGATATTTCATTTTTTCAGGTTTGTTACAGAGTAGGTTATTGTTTGATGGATTATAAACTATTTTCTTGAAAAAGGTAAAAATTCTTCTAGTCCTATTAGATTTAATATTTTCTTTACTTTTACTTTATGGTCAAATTTTTTTTAAGTATTTCAGATTGTTCAGATAATCATGTCATAAAATAGCGGTTGTTATGAAAAGTAATGTTTTACAAATGGAATTGATTGATATACAAAAATTCAGGGGCTGGCGCCGCGGCTCACTAGGCTAATCCTCCACCTTGCGGTGCCGGCATACCAGGTTCTAGTCCCGGTCGGGGTGCCGGATTCTGTCCTGGTTGCCCCTCTTCCAGGCCAACTCTCTGCTGTGGCCCTGGAGTGCAGTGGAGGATGGCCCAAGTCCTTGGGCCCTGCACCCCATGGGAGACCAGGATAAGTACCTGGCTCCTGCCATCGGATCACTGTGGTGCCGCGGCGGCCATTGGAGGGTGAACCACTGGCAAAGGAAGACCTTTCTCTCTGTCTCTCTCTCTCACTGTCCACTCTGCCTGTCCAAAAAAAAAAAAAAAAAATTCAGCAGTGGGGCTGGCACTGTGGTACAGCAGGTTAGGCCAATGCCTAGGATGCCCACACCCCATGTTGTAGTGCCATTTGCAGTCCCGGCTACTCTGCTTCCAATTCAGTTCCCTGTGAACGTGTTTGGGAGGTGGTAGATGATAGCTCAGGAGCTTGAGCTCCGGAAACCTATGTGAGAGACATGGATGTGGTTTCTGGCTCCAGGCTTGTTGCAGTCATTTGGGGAGTGAACCAGCAGATGGTAGGTACATCTCTGTCTCTTTCACACTGCCTTTAAAATATATAAATGAATAAATATTTAAAAATTCAGCAGTAAGCTAAGCTTATAAAAGATTAATTTAACTTGATGTGAAGATGAACACTTGATCAATATCCTACTATAGTATACTAATTCTAGTTTGTGACTTAATTAATGAATTAAAATTAATTCTAGTTCTAGTTGACTTTTCTAAAATGCCAAACACAACTTTTTGCTTTGTTTTACTAATTTTTTAGCTTCTAAAATTATTAGTGATTCTTTAAAGCAGCTTTCTCTCCAGAGGACAGCTTGAAAGGTATAAAGCAGGAGCTGGCATTGTGGTGTAGCAGGTACGGCTGCCATCTGCAATGCCTGCAATCCACAGGGGCATGGGTGCCGGTTCAAGTCCTGGCTGCTCAATTTCTGATTCTGCCCCTGGCTAATGGCCTGGGAAAAGCAGTGGAGGATGGTCCAAGTGCTTTGGCCCCTGCTAGACATGTGGGAGACTGCAAGAAGCTCCTGGCCTCGGCCCGGCTAGGTGCTGGCTGTTGTGGTCTTCTGTGGGGATGAACGAGAAGATGGAAGACCTCTCCACCTCTCTCCCCCTCTCTCTCTCCCCCTCTCTTTAACTCTGCCTTTTAAGTAAATAAATAAGTTAAAAACAACAGTCTAAAGCATCAAGGAGGACAGACCTGTCAGGTCTTAGCTCCATCTGATCATTTGGTTCTGCCATATGCTGTTACTGCCCTGGCTTCCCGACAGGTATTCAATGTTAAGGACTACAATACATGGAATCATTTTACCTTTATTACTCACTACAATTTCCATCTACTTCTAGTTTAGAGGTCTGTCATATTGGGTTCTGCCAAATGTGCAAGTACTAAAAGTTTTATTTAAAGCCTGAAGATCTTGTAATTAGAGACTGGCAGTAATTCTGGTAGCAAAGAGTACACACCCTCTTACTGTTTCCATGCCCAAAAAAGGGACAACAGCTGGCTCACATATTAAAATGGATGAGCTGATAATGATTTTTACTCTTTGAAGGCAACATTCTATGTTTTTCCACACTCTTGTGTATTCAACAGCAGAAAGAAGCACTTTAAATGTTTATTTTTAATATTCATAAAAATCATCCTGTAATATTAAAGATTCAGCATTTAAATTTCTGAATTACCTCAGTGTTCCTCTGAGTTCTCCATAGTTTACAATGATTGCTGCACCTTCTTTATAGCCTTGATTGAAGCCCTGTTGAAGAGCAACTGCTTTGCCAGCATCGATTCCTTCTCTATAGCCTTCCTAAAAATAAGCAATGAACAACTACAGTTGTAACTAATACCAAGTGAACCATATGTAGGCTTTTCTAGAAAGGCACAGACCCAATTTAGAAAACTGATGAAACTGGCTTTTACTGCATTCTTGAAAATAATATGGTATAGCCCCACAAGCAATGCAGGTTATGTTCCTCATAAAAATTTATTACCGGTTTATTGTTCCTTATCCCACTTTTGAAGTGTGTTCTCACCCAGTTTTTAACACCTCTGTTTTAGCAATGTCTTCACAGAAAGGAAACATGGAAACTTACATGTCTGGCCCTCTGGCAACTGAGTGGAAAGGTGTGAGTGGGTGAGGAGACAGAACAAAGTAAGGAAAGGCAAAACTGTTTTAGAAGGAAAGTGAGAAGCCTGGTTTTAGAAATTTTGCTTGATCCTGAAATCCAAGTAAATTCTCTGTGGACAGAAACTTTGTTCTGCATGTCCCAAGTATGTCACAGTACTCAAAAGATGCTTATTATTGGGGCCAGCACTGTGGAAAAGGGGGTAAAGTGGCTGCCTGCAGTGCTGGCATTCCATACAGGCTCTGGTTTGAGTCCTCGCTGCTCCACTTCCGATCCAGCTCTCTGCTATGGCCTGGGAAAGCAGTAGAAGATGGCCCAAGACCTTGGGACCCTGCACTGGGAGGAAGCTCCTGGCTCCTGGCTTCAGATTGGCCCAGCTCCAGCTGATGGGGCTTTTTGGGGAGTGATCCAGCAGATGGGAGACCTCTCTCTCTCTGCTCTGTAACTGTAACTTTGTCTTTCAAGTAAATAAATAAATTCTGAGAGAGAGAGAGAAAGAGAGAGATGTGGCAGTATTGACTGGTCCAGCCTTAGCGTCACATAAAACTTTTTGTAACTGACAACGTGGTTGCTGAACTAAGCAAATATTGTTTTGCTGAAACATTAATTTGGGGCAGATCCCCAATACAGCTTTAGGAGCAATTTAATGGCTGGCAAATATAGTAAGTGGAAGCAACCCCCACCATTTAGTCTTCACCCAGTACTAAGCTCTGAGTACTCCATCTGGAAATTACGCTTAGACTCAACAAATAAAATTAGACATGAATAATTCACATCCAACAAATAAGAAGAAAATTGGTTTTAATATTCCCTTACTTGGTCATCAGTATTCCATCTTAGCTTTCTCCTACTGCCTTTTTTTTTTTTTTAATATTTACTTGTTTGTTTGAAACGCAAAATTACAGAGATGCAGGGGCAGAGAGAGATCTTCCATCAGCTGGTTCATTCCCAAATGGCTGCAACTGCTGGAGCTGAGCTGATCCGAAGCCAGGAGCTTTTTCTGGGTCTCCCACGTGGGTGCAGGGGCCCAAGGACCTGGGACATCTTCTACTGCTTTCCCAGGCCACGGCAGAGAGCTGCTCAGAAGTGGAGCAGCCGGGACTCGAATCAACTCCCATATGGGATTCGGGCACTGCAGGAGGTGGCTTTACCCGCTATGCCACAGCCCCGACCCCTCTCCTACTGCCTTTAACATTGTAAAGTTCACTTTTTTCGTGTATCTTGGTTAAAACACTCCTAACTCTGGGCTCCCCACCCACTCAAGCTGCCCGTGGAAGCCTGAATGCGCGTCCTTTGACAGCCATAATCAGCAGTCAAGTAATCACTGTATTGGTATGTCTCTCCCCCACCCACTTCCCTGTGATCATCATCAGACAGCAATCGCTTCCAAGTGTGGACAACATGTGTTTTGGTGGGCGTCCCGCTTCTCCAACGCCCTCCCGCAAGCGCTCAAACAACGCGTCTCTGGGGTTCACCCGCTTCCAAGCAACCCACTGGGAAATCCTGGCGGGACGCGGGGCGCACCGCGTGGCAAAGGGTAAGGACGGCGGCGCTAGCCAGACTGGGACCACTGGGACCACGGTGGGCCCGGCTTCTTCACAAACTCGGGGCTCCGCTCCACCACAGCCCGGCACCCCCCGGGGTCCCCGCACCCTTCCCACCCCCCTCCCCCGGCTTTACTTTCACTCGTTTCTGCATGTGACTCCGCCATTCCCGCTGTACCAGGAGCGACTCGTCAGCTTCCTCATCAAACACGTCCCCCTCCTCGGCCGGGCTCTGGACCGAGGGGGTAGCCCGAACCCACGACATCACCGAGATGGCTACGGAGCCGCAGGCAACAGGAAACACCCGCGACTCCTTCCGGTGTGAGGGGCGGGACGAAGACTGCGCTCCTGGCGCTCAGGGCGGGTGCGCGTGCGCCGAGGCGATCCGTCGTGGTTGCGGGCTGTCCAGCCTGACGTCCAGAGCTTTTGGACTCGCGGACTTTGGGACTAAGTCAGTTAACACAGTGTGTCCGTGTGCACCTTGATTCCTTCCTCGGCTGGGGCGTGACCTTGATCAGACCCCGCATTCCTGTCGTAGACTGCAGTGTTCTGGGTGTGGGAGAGGCTCCTTTTGTAAAATCACTCAAGGCGGTTGAGCCAGTACTGCCCAAAGACTGTCTCAGAATCTCAGCGTGTTCAGGGGACGTGACAACCTGACACGGATTGATTGTTAGGAGCTTGGAGCAAAGAGCAAAAGAGTCAGAGAGTGAACTACTGCGGCCCATTTGAGATCAATAGGAAATAGAAAGGTTGCCTTTGCCATCGATACATCTTCCTTGATTCTCAGTATCCTTCGCTGCCTTCCACTCTTGCTCACGTGCGCTAAATGCAAACTGTGATCTTGGCGAGGGCGGGAACTTGTCTGCCCCAGCACCAGCAGGTTCTGACACTGCAGGTGAAAGCACCCCAGTGGCATCCCGTTTTGCCTTTGTTTGTGTGGGTAAATGAGTCCTGTGACAGTCGTGGTTTGTTTGTCTTACCTTTTCTTGAATACCTGTGTGTCTGGATACATTAGTGAATAAAACAGATAAAAGTTCCTAGCCCTTTGGATTTTATTCCTGTAGAATTTGCAGAGCACACACAGCAAACAAATATGAGTAACTTAGGTAGTTTGAAGATTATAAATAATAAATGTTATGAAACAAATTTAAAACAAGTAAAGTAAAGGGAATCCTGAGTGTGTGTGTGTGTGGGGGGGCGAGTGGATGGTGCAGGCTACAGATTTAAATTTTAGAATTTTGCATCTCACAAATATATAACCTGTAAAAGGCATATATTAAGTAAACTCTTAAAAATGTATTTGTTAATTAGAAACAAAATGGCAATAAAGGAATCAATAAAAACAATTGAATAACGTTGACTAGCTGAGCGCATTTAGCCTAGTGCGTGAGATGCTAGCCTCCTGCATTGGAGTGCCTTCATTAGAAGCCAGCCTCTCACTTTGTTTGGAGTGCCTGAGTTTGATGTGCAGCTCTGACTCCTGACTCCAGCTTCCTGCTAATGCAGACCCTGGGAAGCAGTGGTGATAGCGCAAGTGGGTTCCTGCTGCTCACATGGGAGACTTTGATTGCCTTCCCAGCTCCCAACTTTGTCCAGCTCCAGCCTAGATTATCACTGGTATTTTGGGAAGTGAAGCAGTGCCTAGGAGCTCCCCCTCTTTGTCTATCTCTCAAATAAAATTAAAAAATAGAAAATCTTTTTTTGAAAAGATTTATTTATTTGAAAGTCAGAGTTACACAGAGGGAGGAGAGGCAGAGAGAGAGAGAGAGAGAGAGAGAGAGAGAGAGAGAGTCTTACATCCGCTGGTTCACTCCTCAATTGGCTGCAACAGCCAGAGCTGCGCTGATCCGAAGCCAGGAGCTAGTAGCTTCTTCCGGGTCTCCCACGAAGGAACAGGGGCCCAAGCACTTGGGCCATCTTCTACTGCTTTCCCAGGCCATAGCAGAGAGCTGGATTGGAAGTGGAGCAGCCGGGTCTTAAACCGGCACCCACATGGGATGCCGGCGCTTCAGGCCAGGGCGTTAACCCACTGCGCCACAGTGCTGGCCCCCCAAAATAAAAAAATCTTAAAAACTTGCAAAAATAAATCTAAAAATTGATTCTTGGAAAAAAATCAATAAAATAGATAATCTTGATGTGGTTTTGATTTTAAAGGAGAAAAAGTATAAGATAGGAGTAAAAGAAGAGGCAACCACTGATGTAGAAAAAAAAAGTATTATAAACTACCCACTGAAACTCAGGAGAAATACATTTGAAAATCTAAAATAAATGAATAACTTCTTAACACAGTTGACCCAGGAAGTAGAAAACATGAAGAAACAAATTACTATACAAAAACTGGGATTCAGTCTCTACTATAAAGAACAGGATGGAGACTTAACAGTTTCACAGCTGAGTCTTTTTTAATATTTAAAATATGATAGATAATTTAATATTTTTCTGTTTTAGAGCAGAGAAAATGATAGTAAATTCCTGAATCATTTCATGACACCAGGCTTACTGTAACCTGACAAAGATGGTTAAAAAAAGAAAAAGCAAGCAAACAGAATCAAAAGGCCAGGGACCAGCATTGTGACATTGTGGCATTGTGGATTAAGCTATTACCTTCCAAACCGGCATCCTCTGTGGTCACCAATTTGAGTCCCAGCTGTTCCACTTCTGATCCAGCTCTCTGCTAAAGAGCCTAGGAAAGCAGTAGAAGATGGCCCAAGTACTTGGGCCCCTGCACCCACATGGGAGACCTGGATGAAGCTCCTGGCTTTAGCCTGGCCCAGCCATAGCCATTGCAGCTATTTGGGGAGCGAACCAGCGGATGGTAGACCTCTTTTTCTGTCTCTCCTTCTCTCACTGTAAATCTGCCTTTCAAGTAAATAAATTAATCTTAATTAAGATTTATTTTATTTGTTTGAAAGGCAGAGTTACAGAGAGAGGTAGGGACAGAGAGAGAGGTCTTCCATCCGCTGGCTCACTCCCCAGATGGCTGCACCAGCTGGAGCTGCGGCAATCCGAAGCCAGGAGCCAGGAGCTTCTTCTGAGTCTCCCACGTGGGTGCAGGGGCCCAAGTCTTGGACCATCTTCTACTGCTTTCCCAGGCCATAGCAGAGAGCCGGATAAGAAGAGGAGCAGCGGGGACTTGAACCGGCGCCCATATGAGATGCCGGCGCTTCAGACCAAGGCTTTAGCCCACTGCGCCACAGCGCCGGCCCCAAAAAATTAATCTTAAAAACAAAACAAAACAAATTCCAAAGTTCAAGTTAGTTTATGAATAGATATTCAAAAGAGACTCCAATACTTCATCAAAAGATATTTCAAGAAGTTTCATTCCATGAAAGCAAACTTTTTTCTATATTAGTATATCTCTTAACATATTTCATTGCATCAACAATTTAAAGGGAAATATATATTAATAAATGCTGAAAATTATTTGAAAAAATTTAAAAACAAGTTATGATAAAACAAAATAGAAATAACTATAAATTGATAAAAGGCCTTACCAAAATCTGAAAGCAAGTAGTAGTTTCAGCACTAAGTTTTTTTTTTCCCAGAAACCTTTTATTTAAGGAATACAAACTGATACATTTCTTCCTTTTTTTTTTTTTTTTTTTGACAGGCAGAGTGGACAGTGAGAGAGAGAGACAGAGAGAAAGGTCTTCCTTTGCCGTTGGTTCACCCTCCAATGGCCGCCGCGGCCGGCGCGCTGCGGCCGGCGCACCGCGCTGATCCGATGGCAGGAGCCAGGAGCCAGGTGCTTTTCCTGGTCTCCCATGGGGTGCAGGGCCCAAGCACCTGGGCCATCCTCCACTGCACTCCCTGGCCACAGCAGAAGGCAGGCCTGGAAGAGGGGCAACCGGGACAGAATCCGGCGCCCCGACCGGGACTAGAACCCGGTGTGCCGGCGCCGCTAGGCGGAGGATTAGCCTAGTGAGCCGCGGCGCCGGCCTCTTCCTTTTTTTTTAAAGATTTAATTATTTATTTGAAAGTGTTACATAGAAGGAGAGGCAGAGAGAGAGAGAGAGAGAGAGAGAGAGAGAGAGACAGAGGTTTTCTATCTGCTGGCTCTCTCCACAAATGGCCACAACGGCAGGAGCTGTGCCAATCTGGAGCCAGGAGCTTCTTCCAGGTCTCCCACGCGGGTGCAGGGGCCAAGGACTTGGGCTGTCCTCCACTGCTTTCCCAGGTTATAGCAGACAGCTGGATCGGAAGTGGAGCAACCGGGACTCGAACCACTGCCCATATGGGACACTGGCATTGCAGGCAGCAGCCCCACCTCCTACACCGCAGTGCCGGCTCCAATTCATACATTTCATAATTACAACTTTAGGCATATGGTGATTCTTCCCACCGTCTCTACCCTCCCACCTACTCTTGCTCCTCTCTTCCTCTTCCCTCTCCTGTTCTAAGTTCTATTTTTAATTAGCTTTACACACATATGATTAACTCTGTTCAGAGTTCAACAAATACTATGAAAAAAACCTGTTCCTCAACAGTTGAGGCAAGGGCTATTTAGTCATTGCTTCTTAAAGTGTCAATCTCACTTCTAGAGATTACCTTTTGGGTGCTCTATCAGTTACCACAGGTCAGGGAGAACTTCTGGTATTTGTCTTTTTGGGACTGGCTCATTTCACTAAGTGTGATGGTTTCCAGTTGCATCCATTTTGTTACAAAAGACTGAATTTCATTTTTTTGTTTTTACCATTGTGTAGTATTCCATGGTGTATATATCCCGTAATTTATTTGTCCAGTCTTCAGTTGAAGGGCATTTGGGTTGATTCCATATCTCACATATTGTGAATTGAGCTGCAGTAAGCATGGGGGTGCAGATAATTCTTTCACAGGCTGATTTCATTTCCCTTGGGTAAATTCCCAGGAGAGGGTGGCTGGCTCATATGGCAGGTTGGTATTCAGATTTCTGAAGTATCTCTATACTGTCTTCCATAGCAGCTTCACCCTTTTACAGTCCCACCAACAGTGGATTAGGGTACCTTCTTCCCTACATCCTCACCAGCATTTGTTGTTTGTTAATTTCTATATGAAAGCCATTCTAACAGGCGTGCGGTAAAACTTCACTGTGGCTTTAATTTGCATTTCCCTGACTAGTGATCCTAAGCATTTTCTCATGTGTCTATTGGCCATTTCGATTTCCTCTTTTGAAAAATGCCTGTTTAAGTTCTTCAGCACTCAGGTTTTAAGATATTTCCTTTAGATTGTATAAAAGAGGGCACCTGGCAATCACCATTATATTTAATGTTCTTTTGGAGACATGACATGATAAGAGATTAGCACATTATCTGTATAAATGTTGGATAATAAGAGATGAAGTTATTTTTTTTTGCTGGATGTGTGATTGTATGCCTAGAAAACCTAAAAAACTTTGCTTAAATACCTTATAATAAATAAACTAATAAAGGAGAGTGAAGTGGTCTCTGGGTACAAGAAAAACAAACAGACCAACAGCCTCTTTTTTTCTACTAATAATCATCTACAAATGAAAATGAGTAAATAGTCCACTGATAATACCAACTGATATTTTAAAATATAATATTGATTTATATATTTAGTAGAGTATTTATAAATATCAGGAACACTTTTTTTTTAAAGATTTATTTATCTATTTGAAAGGCAGAGTCACAGAGAGGCAGAGAGAGAGAGAGAGAGAGAGTGAGAGAGAGAATCTTCTAGCCGCTGGTTCACTCCTCAGATGGCCACAACGGCCAGAGCTGTGCTAATCCAAAGCTGGGAGCCACCAGGAGTTTCTTCTGGGTCTCTCACATGGGTGCAGGGGACCAAGGACTTGGACCATCTTCTACTGCTTTTCCAGGCCACAGCAGAGAGTTGAATTAGAAGTGGAGCACCGGGACTCGAACCAGTGCCCATATAAGATTCCGGCACTGCAGGCAGTGGCTTTACCCACTACGCCACAGTGCCAGCCCCCATTTTTAAAGTCATGCAGTAAAAGGCACACATTTTGAGTATATAGTATGATGAGTTTTGATAAATATATTTACCTGGGTAACTATTAATCAAGGTATAGAAAATTTCCATTACCCCAGAGAATTTCCTTATAATCCTTTGCAGTAAGTTCCTCACTCCTGGCAATCCATTTAATATAGATTTGTTTTGACAGTTTTAGAACTTCATAAGAATGGAATCCCACACAGTCATGGATTCCACATTTGCAGGTCCTACATCCATGTAACAAACAAAGTGCAGACTGAAAATATTTGAAGAAATGTTGTTCTCAATATGTACAGGCTTTTTTCTTGTTATTGGCCTCTAAATAATACAGAATACCAAGTACTTACAAGGCATTTGCATTGTATTAGGTATTGTAAATAATCTGGAGATGACTTAGAATATTTGAGAGGCTGTATATGGGTTGTATGCAAGTAGTACAGCAATTAATGTAAGGTACTTGAGCAGAGAATTTTGTTATCTGCAGAGGCCCTGGAACCAACAGTGAGGGTTGACTGTATTTCCTTTTAAGTAGTGTCTTCTTTGCCTTAGCATATGTTGAGATTTGTTATATGGTTGACTGTAAATACTGTTTTTGTTGCATGAATAATTTGTCCAGTCGCTTGTTGGACATTTGGATTATTTCCAGTTTTTGACATTTTGCTAATAACATTTTTGTACCTGTCATTTTGTGTATATATTTTCATTTCTCCTGGGTAACTGTCTAGAAGTGGAATTGCTGGGTCATATGGTAAGTATAAATTTAACATCATAAGAAAATGCCAAAATATTTTTCAAAGTGATTGTACCATTTTTCACCCTCGCTAGCTATGTATGAGAATGTTAGTTGCTTTACATCCTCTACCTCACTTGGAATTGTCAACAGCAAATATTTAATGTTGGTTATTCTGGGAGCCAGCTCTGTGTCATAGAGGGGCTGGTACTTTGGCGTAGTAGGTAAAGCCACCGCCTGCTGTGCCAGCATCCCATATGGGTGCCGATTCAAGTCCCAGCTGCTCTATTTCCTACCCAGCTCTCTACTGTGGCCTGGGAAAGCAGTAGAAGATGGCCTAAGTCCTTGGGTCCCTGCACCCGTGTAGGAGACCTGGAAGAAGCTCCTGGCTCCTAGCTCCTGGCTTCGGATCAGTGCGACTCCAACTGTTGCAGCCATCTGGGGAGTGAACCAGCGGATGGAAGACCTCTCTCTTTCTGCCTCTTCTCTCTCTGTGTAATTCTGACATTCAAGTAAAATAAATAAATCTTTAAAAAAAATTGGTTATTCTGATGGGTGTGTAGGGGTATCTTACAGTGATTTTATTTTGCATTTTCCAAATGACTTATGCTTCCAGATTTTTGTGTGCTTATTTGCTATACATGTATCTCTTTTTCTACCATAGCTATTTTTATTATATTACAATAATTAGCTGTTTTTATTTTTTTTAAATATAGTCTTTGCCCATTTGAAAATTTGGGTTGTCTTCTTACTGTGTTTATTTTTTTCAGTTGATGCAACTCAGTAATTTTTATTGCAACTGGAAGACAATATATCACAGAAACTTTATGGTAAGTCTGGGGAAAAGTGTTATTTACAATAAATGATGAAATAGTTTGTCTTTGGCAATATGATTACACATGAAGAATGTGAGATGCAAGTATGGATGTCTCCAAAGCAATGCCACCAAGTCCCTAGGGTTCAGCTGATGGTGTCTGTCTCTGCACTGCTGCTTTAGGTTAACACAAACACAAATGAATGTCACTTTTTTTCTCTTTTATGGTGTTCCATTTGTATTCATGACATTAGCAGTTTCATACAGAAAAAAATTGGCTTTTGAAAAATTATTACTCCTGTAAATTAATTTGACCATATAGGTCTCTTGGCCTGGAAAGTCAGATGACCCCAAGCATCAACGGTAAACCTCTTGGTCTTCTGATTGCTTTATCACTGCTGTTTTCTTTTTTTTCTTTTCTGCAATACAAAAACAAAAATTTAGAAATGTTACAGAATCAGAGTATAAAAAAAGTACAAGTGCTTCCCAGACACACAGATATTTTTTTTCCTCCACATATTCACTGTGGCAGTATAAGTAGTAAATGTGATGACACAGCATGAGACTGGTTACTGAATCAGCTGTGGGCTTAGATGTTCTCAGCAGTGCATACTCAACAAGTGCTGAACGCTTAAATAACTGAAAGGGTGCTAAGTTTCATATACCAAGGGGCTGAGGAGCTCAGGCCATAGTCATGAGAGGATGGAAGGGTTTCTATGTTTGATAGGTTCACCATATTAAAGTCTTGGAGAATCCAGTATGGACTATCAATTATTTGCAAAAGGTGGAGATGGTTATTTCTGTGTTTTAAAGATTCTTTATATATTCTGCATATAAATCCTTTGCCAGATACATGTAATGTGAAAATATCCTTTACATTATTTATATCTACCAGGAGACAGATATAGAGACAGAGTTTGGAGTATCTGAGACTTATTAGGGAGTGGGGAACAATGCTTGTGAAACACGAGAAGAGGAAGCAAGATTAGGCAGGGAAAGCATTCAGAAAGTGCTGCTGGTTTGATTCTTGTAGGAAAGAAGGAGGAGGAAGCAGGAATGGGTACAGAGACATCAAATTGCTATATACATCTGATGATGTCTTGGCCAAGGTTTTAAGGAGCTCTGGAGCAAAGAGCAAGAGAGTTTTTGCATCTGGCACAGATGGCAAGACCTTACCACTTTTGCCAAGCTCATGTATTGGCTGGGGGATGATCTGAAAGAGTATGGCCTTGGATGGAAACCTGAAGCAGATCCTGTAGGCGCCAACAGTTGGAGGCTGACAGTTAACCGTGCCTTCATGGACCAGGTGATCTTTCAAGGTCCTTTCAAGTGTGTGATTCTATTACTTCCAAAGCAGCATACCTCTTCTTTTTTTTTTCCTTTTTTTAAGTGAACTGTAAATAACAGTGACATCCCCTGCATAGATTTTGATGACACAATCTGAACTTACTCCAGAGCATTTATTAAACTCCTCTTGCAGCTCAGTTATCTGTTATGTAAATACTCTGATGAAGTCAACCTTTAGGATTCATTGTATTTTGTTCCCATTCTTCTGTTTATCCCTCATCCTTGTCTTTTCTTTCAAAGCCTTCAACAACTCTTTTTTATGTCTTCCTATTTCCAATCTCCTGCTGTTTCATTGTTTATCTCAGTCTTCCACACTTTATCTGTGCCTTTTGCAAACTGCTCTTTTGTATTTGACATAATAAACTCTAAGAGGGCAAAGACCTCTTCTGGAATCCTCTTCAAAGCTTCTAGCATACTGGCTTTAATCATCCAGTGTTTGGCAATCAGCCTGAAACAGAACTGACTTCCATATGTCAAAGGAGGCAGTTTTCCCACTTTTCCTTGTCCCTTCTAAACTTTCAATCCTTAATACTATTCAGTGATCAAATCTTTTGATGCTATCTTTTAATTTCTTATGTCAGGATTGCTAAGACTATGTAATATATGTTAGAAAATATAAATTAGTTTCTGGTGGCAGAAATGGATGGGGAGCATTCAAAATGCATAAATAAATTCGTTTCAAAACAAATAACAAAAACAATGGTCCATTCTCACCCAATGCAGGCATTTGGGGAGTGAATCAGCAGATAGAAGCACTTTCTGTTTTTCTGCTTTTCAAATAAATAAATTAAAAACCTTTTTAAAAAAGAAGTATTAGGATAAGGATGGTAGCTTTGGGGCAGAGTTTCCTGAAGTCTATTTAAAAGAGTTAAATTTGTTTTAAGGTATTGTGTCTGTAGAAAACCCCAATTTAAAAAAAAATTTTTTTTTGACAGGCCAAGTGGACAGTGAGAGAGAGAGACAGAGAGAAAGGTCTTCCTTTTTCTGTTGGTTCACCCTGCAATGGCCACTGTGGCCAGCGCACCACGCTGATCCGAAGCCCGGAGCCAGGTGCTTCTCCTGGTCTCCTGTGGGGTGCAGGGCCCAAGCACTTGGGCCATCCTCCACTGCACTCCCTGGCCACAGCAGAGAGCTGGCCTGGAAGAGGGGCAACCGGGACAGAATCCGCCGCCCCGACCGGGACTAGAACCCGGTGTGCCAGTGCCACAGGTGGAGGATTAGCCTATTGAGCCGTGGCACCGGCTCATCTTGCTGTTTTAACATGCTGTGTTTTTCTTTTCCTTTACAGCAAAACTTCTTAAAAAGAGTCACTTTCTCTCTTCCTTTTCAGCTCCCTGTAATCCAGCTTCCAGCCTTGTATACTATTTAAAATGCGGTTGAAGGGATTCAGACAATTTCCGTAATGTTTTGGCCAATGAATATCAAATCGCTCCCTCCAGCACAGCTCTCCAGGAGGCAGCAGACTCATGTGTTGAACTGCCTGCAGAGTGTCCCCACTCAGCTTTACCACACGGATTCTAATGCATCACATCTCGTTTTACCTTTTCACCTTTCAGTGTTCTCCTGTGTTCTCCAGCTTCTTGCTACTCAAATCATGGTACCAACACCTGAAGTATCAGCTCACTGGGGGCCTGTTAGAAATGCAGAGTTCCTGGTTCCATCCCAGAGGTACTGAATCAGAATCTGCACCCTCAGCTGGTTATTATTCACAGTCAAGTTTGAGAAGCATTGCAGTTCATTGAATCGCACGACCAGCAGCTTAGTGCCCAAGCTGCAATGCTGACTCCTGTTTTCCCCCAGTGAGCTGATGTTACAGGTGTTGGTACCACAGTTTGAGTAGCAAGAAGCTGGAGGGACCGGCACTGTGGCACAGCTGGTTAACGCCCTGGCCTGAAGAGCCAGCATCCCATGTGGGCGCTGGTTCTAGTCCCAGCTGCTCCTCTTCCAATACAGCTCTCTGCTGTGGCCTGGGAAAGCAGTGGAAGATGGCCCAAGTCCTTGGGCCCCTGCACCCACGTGGGAGACCCAGAAGAGGCTCTTGGATCCTGGCTTCAATTCAGCTCAGCTCTGGCCAGTTGTGGCCAACTGGGGAATGAACCAGCGGGTGGAAGACCTCTCCCTCTCTCTCTCTCTGCCTCTCCTTCTCTCTGTGTGTAACTCTGACTTTCACATAACTAAATAAATCTTTAAAAGAAATAAAGTGAAGCGGGGAAAAAATAATGATTTAAAAAAAAAGCTGGAGAACGCAGGATGGGAAGAACATTGAAAGATAAAAACATGGTAAATCTGTGTGGCTTTTATTTCTCTCTTTAGATCTAATGTTTTCTTTTTTAAGATTTATTTACTTATTTGAAAGTTGGTGGAACCCCATTGGGTGTCCGCCATGAATGACAGGAACCTGGGTACTTGGGCCATCATCTGCTGCTTTCCTAGATGCATTGTTAGTAGAGATCTGGATTGGAAGTGGAGCAACTGGGTCTTGAACTGGCACTCTGATGTGGGATGCAAGTGGAGGCTTAACCCACTGTGCCACAATGCCTACCCCAGCGTAAAGTATTGTTGGTCGGCATTTTTTTCTTTCAGAATTTGGAATATGTAATTCCATTACTTCCTGACCTGTTCAGTTTCTGTTGAAAAATATGCTGTTAGTCTAATAGGGATTAGTTTAAAAGTACTTAACACTTCTTGCAGATTTTAGAATTCTTTCGTTGAGTTTGACTGTAATGTGTCATAGCAATGATATTTTCTGGTCAAGTTTGTCTAGGGTCCTATATACTTCCTGTACTTCAGGGGTGAGGAACATCCTGCCTGAGGACTGTGTAAGTCCTGCAAAATCATTTGATCTGGCCCTGCCATGGGAACCACAGGTAGGACTTGAAATTCAATAAATCTGTAGCAGGCTAATTTTTTAAATAATTTTTTCTTTTATAATTAAATATTTTATTTTTATTTTTAAAAAAGAAATAATATATATATTCAAGTAATAATTATACAGCAATTCTATAGCAATAAGTATTCTCCTATAAACAATTTTCTCAAGAGGGCATGGAAGGAAAGATGTCTTAAAATTATGGTGAACCAATGGAAAAAGGAAGACTTTTCTAACTGTCTAACTCTGCCTGTCAAAAAAAATAAAAAAAAAATTATGGTGATTTAATTTTATTTTGCCCTAGAATAACATTCTCTTGAGTATTTATGAAAATGAAGATGAATATGCAGCGATACATTTGGTTGATTTTGTGCCAGATGGTCAGTTGCAGAGACTGAACTAAGCTGAACTGATTAATTTTTGCCATATAGGAGCAGGCTGGTTTTTAAGTTGATAATTTTGTATGGCCTGTGAATAATGTCATAAATATCCAAATGGCCTGAGAAGAAAAAGGTTCCCCACCCCTGCTGTACTTGGATGTCTTAACTTTCTCCTGATTAAGGAATTTTTAAGCTACAACTTCATTGAGTAGATTTGCTATGCAATTACTCCTCTCTTCTCCTGCAAGGATTCTCCAAATTCCAACATTTCTTCATTTAATGGTGACCCAAAAGTCTTGATAGTGGTCTTCATTCTTTCAAATGTGTTTTTCCTTTATTTTTGTCTGACTGGGACATTTCAAAAGACCTATTTTTGAGGTCAGATTCTTTGTTTTATTTGGTCTAGTTTGTTGCTGAGGTTTTCAGTTTTTTTTTTTTTTAACAAATATTGCACTATTGTAGTCCTTTAACATTTTCCTTCTGTTTGAATCAGAAGACGAATGCTCCACATGTCATGCACTGTTGACATGTCTTTTTGGTATCTGTTGCTCTATCTTTTCTCTTTCTCTCCAGCTGCGTTTGCCTTCATGCTGACTTTGAACACAGTGAGTGCATCCTCCCCCATGGCTTTTGTACTTGCCATTCCCTCTTTGTGAAAACATTCCCTACACTTCTGTCATGGTCTATTTCTTCTCTTCCTTCAGCTCTCTATTCAAATGTCACATTATCAGAGAGGCCTTCACCTAACTATCTAAGGAAGAATTAGAAGAACCCCAATCAGTCTCTTTCCCTTTCCATTCTGCCTTATTATTCTTCATGGGGCTTATTTATTAGCTGTCTTTGCCATTAGCATATAAAATCAATGAGAATAGGGATGCTGTGTCCTCCATGCCAGAAACAGTGTGTGGGTCATAGGCGGTCCATAAATATTTGTTGAATGAGTAAATGAGTGGATGGGTCAGATAAGTTTTAGTTTCCACTCTTCTCAGCTCTTTTTTTTTTTTTTTTTTTTTTTTTTTTTTTTTTTTTTTTTTTGACAGGCAGAGTGGACCGTGAGAGAGAGAGACAGAGAGAAAGGTCTTCCTTTTGCCGTTGGTTCACCCTCCAATGGCCGCCGCGGCCGGCGCGCTGCGGCCGGCGCACCGCGCTGATCCGATGGCAGGAGCCAGGAGCCAGGTGCTTTTCCTGGTCTCCCATGGGGTGCAGGGCCCAAGCACCTGGGCCATCCTCCACTGCACTCCCTGGCCACAGCAGAGGGCTGGCCTGGAAGAGGGGCAACCGGGACAGAATCCGGCGCCCCGACCGGGACTAGAACCCGGTGTGCTGGCGCCGCTAGGCGGAGGATTAGCCTAGTGAGCCGCGGCGCCGGCTCTTCTCAGCTCTTTTAAAAAGTTTGTTCTGATCATGCTTGTGCTTAGTGAGTTCTTTTTTTTTTTTTTGCTAATGGCAATTATATGAGAACATGTGACCAGTATGTATGAAATATAAGAGAGTAACACAGTTATTCAGTATGTATGGACATTACACACATAGGCCAACTGATGGCCAATTTGTTTATGAGGAACAATTTAATTTTGACTTAAAAAGCCAGGAGAAGATCATTTAGACCAACTTTGTCCAGGCTGGGGTTAGCATATCATATTTGAGTGAGCTTAGGTTTTATTAAGACTTAAATTTTCAAATCTTATTTCCATCATTTCCTGGTATTACATTGACCTATAAGTGCTCTACCCACTTTGAATGCCCTCATTTGTAATGTGGGAGTAATTGTCCTTGTCTTTAGGGTTGTTACCAGGATTTAGTGAAACAGTGTAGCAAGTGCCTACTCAGTGTTTAGTACTTTGCTTAAGGAATGCTCATTCCTTTCCCTTTCCACCATCTTCTGAAGCACCACTTAATCCATCTATTCTGGGACAGTCCTTTTCTACAAAAGAACATCTTTTATCTGGAAGATTGGCAGACAGTGGCATTTCATTTAAGAGCTGGTGATGCAATAATTTACTTAGAAACACGCTATGGCTTCCACAGAAAACTCATCCTGCATATGTACAAAGAACCAGTATTTTTTTTTCAGCAAGAAAACTGATGGAATATAAATACTTTGAAAATGTGCAGTGTCTGTACCTGAAGAAATATCACATGGAGCCATGCAGTAGAAGTGCCTCAACATAAAATTTGTCCCTTTCTGAGCCCTTGAGATATTGCTCCATTTCTTATACCCCTGTGCTGTATGTGCTCATTTGGTGATGTTGGTCCGCCTTCTTAATTCAGTTGCTGAAGTGACATAGTCTTGTTTCATAATTTGTCAAATGATTGAAGGTGCCAGGCAGATCACTATACCCCAGTAATGTCAGTGATTCCTAGTTCTTAAAGAAGAAAGGACAGTGAGCATTTAGCTTAAGGCTGAGGCGTTCTGTGGGGATGTATGTTCTCAGCAAGTTGTTTGTGATTTTTTCCCCTCTGTGCAGCCAGAGGAGCAGAGGGACATATTTCAAGTTCCCATTGGCAAGGAGGGGCTCCCAGTTCTTTTACAAGGATTTGTAAGATTCCATCCCTTTGAATCTTGTCTGCGATCTCTGGCTATCCTCCAGGCTTTCTTTCATAAAGCTTTCAACACACAGAACTGAGTGGGCTGGGCAGAGAAAGCATGTGTGAGTGTGTGTGTGTGCTTGTGTGCCTCTGTGCCTATCTGAAGCTGCCTTGATTGAAATGCCAATATTCTGCCGCTTTCTGGTCTGAATTTACTAGGGCAATAAAATGCAGGCGTCCCCTTGCATAGCGAAGGGAAGTGTAGCAGTTGAGCTTTGCCATTTATTTAGTCAAGTCAGCTTAATGGAGATCAGTACTCAATTCTTCCGTGGGTTCTTTTCTGATTTCTGGTCTCTAGAGCTTCTCATTAGCTGTTGATTTTAGGGGAAGGCATGTCCCTCGTGCTGTGACAGCTCTCTATATGGAAAGGCAAGGGTCATGTTCAATTTTCAGGGATGCTAGGTGTGAGTGGAACTTGCTAAGAGTTATTGTTTGAAAGCATCTACATTTTTTTCTATTTTCAACTTCTTTTGGAAAGAGTAAATCACAAAATATTGGCAAGGTGAAGTTTTTGCTTCTTCCCAAACTATCAGATAATGGATAATGGATAATGTCAAGCTTTACAAGTTGGTTTGTGGACTGCAGGTTCAAAAAGCACTTCATAATTGCTCGCAGAATTTGAGGTTTGGGAGCAAATGAGAGGAAAGAAATATTGTATAACAGTCATTAGGAGGAAAGATTCCAGCAGTTTATTCTTTATTGATTGGTTCAGATTTAAATTACTGAGTTTCTATAAACCAGGACTCTGGACAAGAATATAAGTTTTGGGGCAAGATATTGGTGTAGTGGTAAGATGCAACTCTGGTGCCTGCATCCTGTATCAGAGTGCTGGGGTCACACCCTGGCTCCTGATTCCAGCTTCCTGCTAATGTACAACCGGGGAGCTCACAAGTGCTGGCTCTAGTGTTTGCATCTCTGCCACACCTGTGGGAGTCCTGGATTGATTTCCTAGCTCCCCGCATTTGGGGAGTGAACTAGCAAATGGGAGCTCTCTGTCTGCCACCTGCCTCTCTCTCTCTCTCTCTCTCTCTCTCTTTCTGTCCCTCTGCCTCTCAAATAAAAAATAAACAAATAAACAAATAAACAAATCTAACCTTAAATACAATCAGGCAGGTTTAATTTCCCCATGACTGCATATATGGAAAGGAACAGAGCTGAACATATT